GGAAAAGAGCGTCTACACTGGTCCCGATCCTCCGGAAAAAGCGCCCTTTTCCGGAGGATCTTATTCCTACTTCAAAGTAGGAATACTTCAAAGGGTGCTTTTCCCGGAGGATCGGGGCCAGTGTAGACGCTCTTTTCTGGCTTTTCTAAAAGCCGGAAAAAAGCGGCGGACATTTTTATTTAAATGCCGCGGGGGATATTTAAATCCCCCGCGGATTTCCCTATTACGATAGCTGAAATTAACATGTCCCTTCCGGAAAAGGGGCCAGTGTAGACGTAGCCACGGTGTCCCAGGAGCTGCGCTGCGTGCACGCTCCCCTCTTTGCCTTCCCCCAGTGCTCTGGGGAGCACTCAGCAGGCTGCCCCACCTCCTTCCTTCCCCTTTGCTCTGGGAGCTGCGCTGCGTGCATGCACCTCTCACCTCTTTGCCCCTCCCCGGTACTCCAGGAAAGCTGGGGAGCACTCAGCACGCTGCCCCACTTCTCTGCCCCTCTCCAGTGCTCCAGGGAGGCTGGAACATGCTTGGTGCACTGCTCTACCTTGTCCCCATGGACGGTGGGGCCTAAGCAGGGGCTGTAGGTGGGGCTGGAGAATGCAAGGGTGGTGACTACCGTTTTGTCCCCTACACCCAACTCCTTCCCAGGGCATGTCACCCCGCACCATGTCCTACACCCCAACCTCAAGCCCTGAGCCCCTCCTGGAGATGACACCACAACTCCCTTCCCCAGCTCTGAGTCCCCTCTTACATCCAATCTCCTTCCCAGAGCCTGCACCCCACAACACCTCCTGCACACCTACTCATGCCCCTGGCTCAGCTCTGAGCCCTTTCCCATACTCCGAACTCCTCAGCCCTGGCTCAGAACTCACACCCAACTCCCCTGCCCCAGACTAGTGAATGAGACTGAGCATGAGAGAGAGTGAGTGATGGTGGGAGATGGGCTAGAGTGAAGGGTCTGTGGCAGGACTGACAGCCACTGTAGGCCTTGGAGCAAGGTGTGTGAGGTTCCGGCTTCACACTCCTAGAAGGGGGGGAAGCTGTGGGTGGAAGGGGTGGGGCAGAGGGTGGTCACTCCTTAGCACTGCCCAGAGTGCAGCACTGGGCCCTTCCCCCCAGCTCTCAGAGCCATGTGGCACAGCAGAGCAGCACTCCTCTGGCAATTCAAAAAGGCCTGGGGCTATGTCTGCCACCACAGCTGTAGTAGCTGTGGCTATGGCTGGGGAGCTGTGGGCTCCTTTGAAAGGCCAGGCCCCTGTGCTGTTGCTCCCTTCTTCTACCCCCCATGTCAGCGGGCCTGAGAGGCTGGGTAGGGCCTCAGGCCAGTGTGGAGCAAGTCATTTGGGTTTGTGTGATTAGACAGTTGACAACTGTAATTTTATCTAATCCTTCTCTGACAGTGGCTGGCTATGAGAGGGAGAAGGGGTTAAAGAGAAGAAAATACAAGGCAGATCCCCAGCATCTGTAGGAGGAAGGGAAGAACTTACTGGGGAAAGCAAATAGACAATACCTGCTTCTACCACATGGTCCATGGTTGGAAATCTTTTGTACACAGCTGTGCTCACTGAGCGGAATATGAGCAGGGAAGTTAAATTCACATAGCGCATAAGAGTCCTCCTAAGTAAGCGCCCATATTCATCTCTTCCCTGAATGCTGCTAGAGATCAAGAACATAAGTCTGTCTGGCCATGGCAGATTCACAAACTGATTCCACCAGCGGTTCACCACCAAAGTAACGTAGAATCCTGTGAAGTAAAAAAGTATATCAGCATCACTCATCTTGTTGCAAAACCAGTGCATGCTGAGGTTCATTCTGTGGGATGTTATCCAGGCTATAAGGACACTTCATTTGCCAGAATAATTGTTGTAAAATATGCACAATATGATACAGTTAAGCCTATTAAGTAGCTATTCCATTCTCAAGACCAAATCCTGCAATCTTCTAAGTGCCTCATGCAGCATGTTAAGCAACCACTTCTCCCGTTCACTTAAATGAGAGTGAATATTATTCATGTCACTGGCTCCAGCCAGAAAAGTTACTTAAACAAACACGGTTAGTGAATAAATGTTTAATCTTCCAATAGTGCAGTAATAATGCAAGCATATGTGGTGTTGTCTTGACAAAAGCAAACTGACTTTAGGGTGACTTTAAAGGGAGAGGTGGTGATTTTATTGGGACAGCTTTCCAACATGCCTTTCAGTTCTGAAATAGTTCCATGCATTGCCATTTGTGTCATCCTAATGGAGGCAGCTTTGTGGAGTCTTTCCACATGTAAGCTCTACTTACCAAGCACAAAGGTGACTGGGATTTGTTCAGCATATTTGTCACAGTAAATTGATAATTTTTCAAAGAACCGTTTTTGGCTTCCTGTAAGAAAATATCTGTAGCAAAAATAAAATGTACATACCCCTTTGTAATACCACTACACCTTTGCGATAAAGTGCAGGCAAGTAAGTATACACAATCAGATAAATGAAACTAGGATAATGTGTACAGATGAAACTTTAAAGGAGTTAAACTGATGAACATTTAAGGTGTTAATATTTGTAGCATGTAATAAGGGAGCTGATGTGGAGGACTATTATTTGCTAGTCATTAAATTTTTCTCATTACTGAAGAGACAAAATACATTTGTGCTATTCACCTGTAGTATGCCACCTACTACAGACCAATGAGGTAAGCTACTTCAGCAAATGGATCTTTCTCCCATTTTTCAACTGGTCTACTTCATAAAAGTGATCAGATCGGATCTTCTGAAACTGGAAAGGGGCACTAATCTGTACTTGCTGTTACGTGAAAACTCTTTTCTTTCCACAGCAGGGTGTATATCTCATTTACTATTAAAAAATTCGTCTTGGCCATAACTTAAAATGCACAACAAATATTTAAATTAAGGCAACTACAAGCCATATGATAGGGGAAAAATGGAGCCCAATGATTGATTCCCATGTAGAATGATTTCTAATCAAATAACAACATTCTTAAACATATGCAATTATTTTATTTATATATAAAATGTTACAATTGTTATTCCATATAAAAGATATACATGGCAAATATTTGGGGTGGTTTTACAATTGTAAAATAAAATCTGCTATTCACATAGAATGCTTTCCACAGTGTACACTGAATAAAGGAGAGAGTTTTTATTTACAGTTTTAAAGTAAAAATAGACTTTTTAAAATTTGACTGTTTTTGTTCCTGTTTCTATAAATGCCAATGATGTGGCCTTGCTACCAACTGGACCATGCTGTATGCCAGTATATCTTGGAAGACTAGTAATTGCTTATACAGACAAAGTAAGTCCAAAGAACTTGTTTTACACCAAAAAGGAAAAACGTGGAGCTCCAATTATAGCTCTAAAGAGGGCCAGAAATGTAACTGAAACTCCTCCCATTTATTTTATCGGTGAAAGTCCATTAAGAAATCTTGTTTTCACTGAGGTGAAATTCATAATGTTCCAAGGACTAGCATGAGACTTACCCCCCGTTTATGTCACACTAGAGGAATTAATTGGAACTTGAGTGTCACATGGGTTTTGTGCTGGCCCTTTGAACAGGGATAAGTTTCACCCTGACTTATGCACTGATCCTGCGAGGTGCTGCTGTTGAGCCTCTTCTGTGACGCAGAGAGGAAGGGAGCCATGAAAGAACTTAGGTGCCTTAACCCCAAACTTAGGGCTTGTCTACAGCACTATGCTGTAAGTGTAAGTACTCCTCCCATCGACATACTTCTCTGGGAGGGGAAGTTGTCTATACCTGGGCTTAGGCTGGTCACTCTGGGATGTAGCACCATCACCACTTCCTTCTCCAGCTGTTCTGTGCAGAGCAAGGCAGGTGCCTCACTTCCTGCAAGAAATGCCTTAAGTTAGACACCTAAATTGTCTGATTCTGGGGGACAAATGCCCATTTGTGAATCACTAAGCAGAGATAGGCACTTCTCTACAGCTTAGATTTAGGCGCCTATCTCCAGGAGGGCAGGACTTAGCACACAGCATTTCCCAGAGCACTCCCTACTCGTATGCAGAATATGCAGTTGCAGCACCCAGAAATTTTGGGCAACACTGGTTCTTAATGTCCACCCTTCTATCTCTTCCTATCCCTGTTCTGTGGCTCTGCTTCCTTCGGAGATGGTGTAGTTAAAAGTGAAAAAGCCTGCCAGAGCGATTAGCAGTACACTGAACCTGTGAAAGAGCCATTCAGATGGCAATGAAGCCATTTAACAGGCATTTGTCAACCCTAGGTATATACTGTCAGCGTCTGAATTTACTGTTAGTCAACAGAGCCTTAGTTTAAAATTTGTTTTAAAAATATTTCATTGGTGTGTTGCTGAAGGTTATAAAATCACTTTGCTAAAAAATTATCATCCCTTGGCTGCCATTGGGCATAGGAGCACCAGTTAAACAGTATTGTGTAGGGCCCCATAAATCCTAAGGATGGCCCTGCTATTTCCCGTTGGCTAGGCCAGTGGTTCATGGTCAGGTGTGTGAGGTTTTGTGGATCACATTCTTAAGCATTTGTCACTCCCTATTTATTGTGTAGGGAGACTACTTGCCTACTTCAGAGAATGGTGCTCCTGGAATTTCTACGTGCCTAAAAGTTAGGTGTCATGACACTCGACGTTGCAAAGTCTAAGTCTCTCCATGGATCCCAGCATAAGTGCTTCCACTTTCTACTGAGTTGAAACTTGGCACTTTGCAAGACCGGGCTCTTAAAAACGGTGGGCTCTTATTACAGTCCTTACTCAGGCAATACTTGACTTTCTATTTCCTGAGAAAAGACTATATAACTGGCTGACAAAATAACTAACTTTCAGCATTTCCAATTAAATTGCCCTCTCTTAACTGGTGATGACAGAGACGCATAAGTATGACAATATGTCTAGATTCACAGTTCAAAACAAGTTATTTAGTCAGTGAAGAGTTAGTGGCAAAAACCATGTAATGATGGAGGAGTCCTGCAGATGTTTATATGGCATAACATTTTTGGAACATGACATATACACAGCAATCATCAGCTAGCAAGTGGCTGAAATTAGAATCACTGGAAGATGATGGTTAAACAGTAATTTAACATTCCAAAACTCATGTGAGATATAAATAAAAAGATCTAAGCAAAACGTCATGTTATTTTGTACAAAATCAGTCATTAGCTGAAGATTTGAAATGTGAGACTGCCCTTCTACATAGCATTTGATTCTGATTAAGAAAGAGACAGGAATATGTATGTCACATGGAAATAGATGTACCTGTACAACACACTTATTGCTGTGTAAAGACTAGCAAAGACAATAAATTCCCTGTACAGCAATTTGTAGATGCTGCCTTTCCACTTGATGAGCAACCTGTGAAATCCAAAGAATGTGGCATTTGCTACTTTACTGGAGTATGTGACTGTCATTGTCTTGGCAAGTTGTTTCTAGAAAAGTAAAAACAAGCAGGAAATTTACAACATTTTAGAATGCATCTTAATTTGACTATACCCATATAGATAGCGATAGTTAGCAATGTCTTTGTGACTTGCACATTGCATGTCTGCAATGTTAGCTATGTAAGGTTACTCTTGAAGACCATCCAGAATCTCCAGCTAGTGCAGATGGTCTTTTGGCCTGCCTGCTTGGCAGTGTCAACTACATGAAGCATACAGTACCTATTCTTCAAAGAGTCTACTAGTTTCCGACTTGTTCCAAGCTAACACTCAAGTGACTGACAAGGATTGCACATTTTTCAAATGTTGCGATTTTGTTAATTTTTTTGTTCAAAATTCAAATAGAAAAAACAGAGGAACAAAATCATGAATGTCCCTGCAGCTGGCTCTGGTATGAAATGTGATCCAGGGACTATCTCTCCCATAATGTGTCATTGCAGCAAGGGAGATCATCTTGGGAACTCTTGTAACAGCCCTGATATTTGAGTAGAACGGTCTTATTGGTGGCTTTTCGTACCTTCTTCTACTCCAAAAGTGCAGTGCCCAAGTTAGATCAGAGTCCAAGACCTAGCTGTTTTCTCACGTCTTTACCAGAGCATGTTGTAGGTTTGCCAACCCTCCAGGATTGATCTGAAGCCCCAGGAAATTAAAAATTAATATTTAATTAAAGATATGTCATGTGACGAAACCTCCAGGAATATGTCTAACCAAAATTGGGAACCCTAGCAAGCTGAGTGGTGAAGAAGAAATGTAACGTACATTTGGTGGTGGTAAAAATATTTTCCTGTTGACTTTGTGGAAAGTGTTTGTATACATCTTTTTCTTTGTTTTGGTACGGAGGGATATTGGTGAGAAGTGTACATTAGCTACAAATATGGGGAGGAGAACTTTGTATAACATAAGGGCAGCCTGATAGGTGACAACTTGGCTAGGTCTCTGGTGCTGAGCATAAAAATAAGGGATGGAAATTTAGTAATGTCACAGCTAATTTCTCCTTTTTTTCATAGGTGAAGTAAACCAGGGGAAGGGAGTCCCAGAAGAATCCCATTTCTGACCAATTCTCTCTCCTGAGTATTCTGATTTGTGTGGATAATCTCTGCCTCAGGCCTGGCGGATTGTAAAATCTTGGAATATATGGTGGTTATTCCTTGGCTTCCAAATGAGAGATGTGCTATTGCTAATATTTTTCCACATATGTTTTTCGATTGAAGTCTGATAATTGCAACTATGGGGTCACATCACAGTGATCAGAGGTAACATCTTTTATGCCCAAATACTTGGGGTTAGTTTAGGGAGTATAGATTAGAAGTCAACAGCCTGAATTCTAGTTCAGTTTTAGTGGAAACAAAACAGGCTAAGAGGTAGCTTCACCAAATGGCTATGATGACAGGAGATGTGGTATGAATGAGGCAACAAATCTTTCTAATGGGAACCCTCAGTGAAATTCTACTGGTATTGTGAAATCCAAGTTAGCACACGAATAGCCTTAGCTAAAGCCAAAATGCTGAATATCCCCTAGAGGATTTGTGCTGCAAGTACCACAATCAGTTCAGGGGCATTATCTAAGTTAAGAATTGCTATTACGTTATTTTTGTATTTGTAAAACTAAGTATAATTGCTTTTAGGACCAGTGGCAAGAGAATGATCACAGTATTTCTATTTTCTTTCCCTTCATATGGAAATACATGTTTCATAACACAAGAAGCATAGATTTGGTGCTGTACTTGTGTTTTTTCTCTGGGAACATGTTTGTAATCTCTGTTATATATAAATAAAATACAATACACAGCAATGAGAAAGATGTGGTATAAGACCTATATTCATATGATTTATGGCTTTACTCTTACAGATATTAGGCACCAGATACTGTGGTGACTGGTGCTATAAAATACTATATATTCTATTATCATTAACCTCATTTGTAGATATAGGACTAAATTCTTTTCTGGTGTAAATTCGCACAGCTCCACTGACATAACTGCAGCTGCAATAATTTACATCACTGGAGAATTTGACCCATATCTGTAATCCTGTTTTTCCTTTCCTTCAGTATTGGTTACCTCTCTGGAATTTACTCGGTTACGGTTCCTTTTTTATTTTACTTTTTCAAAGGCAACCAGCAGTCCTTTGACACTGGTGCCTAAAAATAAAGAATATTGTTTTACTAATATTACACCCAAAGTTAATGGGAATTTTGTCCAAGCATGGACTTCAGGATTCAAAGCATTACAATTAAAATAGAAACCACCATATAAAAAGTCAGCAGCTAATAACATTGTAGATACATTACTGAATATACAAATAAATAATGCCAACATCTAAAATTAACCATTAATTTTCTATTGTTTTATTTCCACTTTTGTATTATGTTGGATATAGGGGTTCAAATGTACAGATTAAGTCCAATACAAATACATTAACCATGTTCTGTGTACACTAACCTGCTATTCTGATGTGGCAGCCCAAACATGAAGGAAAATACCAGACCCTTTCTTTCCCTCCAGTGTCTCTAGTGAAGAAGCCTTTAGGTCTGAAATAGTGACTTTGTTCCTTCTTTACCTTAGGAACATAGGCTACTGGGGGCTTGCTTTCTACTGAGCTCCCGGAAGAGTGGACTGACAAGCAAAGGGGTTAAAATGTCTTTCCACTTCTGGAAGCCTGTTTTTGCCAAGTCCCTCACTGCTGTCAGTTACAGGAGGGCACAGACGCAAGCAACAGCAGCTGCTGATTTTGCTCTTTTCTAATCTATAATTATAACTCCACTTATCATCCAGCAAGCCCTTTGAGTTGAACGAAGAGCTACTGTAATAGTTTGGGTGGCACTAAAACCTTTTACCTCTTTCCTTTTGTCCCCCAAAAGGGGCAAATAACAGGGAAATATTTTCCTCTGAAACTCAGAAAAGAGAAGTAGTCTTGCTTCAATCCTGCAAATTCTTACCAACATGTGTATTACTTCCAGGAGCAGTTCCATCTACTCATGACAATGAGCTTACATCTTTGCATGACTGGAGCTTCTCTCTCCACTCCTAAGATCAGATGAATTCTGTCTTTCAGAAATCATGGTGTTAACAGGAAACTGAGAGACGTGGCAGACTATGAGAGGTTAGGAGGATGCCATTCAATGTACCATGATTTTTCATAAAATCTGTCACAAAATGAATGAAGCAAGGGATTGCTAAGTGAAATAAAATATAGCAGAGGGGGTGAGTAAGATGCTGTGTAGACCAGAGGGGAAAGCTGTATTTTCTGATGAGATTTTTCATGTTTGAGTCCCATCTCATTATGTACAAAGTGATTGAGACGCATGTTTTGTTAATTCAGCTTGTCTCGGAAGGAAATGATTTGTGATCATCTGCTTTTTCCTCATTGACAGTAGCAGACAGAAGACATGTAGATGTCAAAACATGAAAGGTGTTACTGCATGCTGTGCATTTGTGAACAGGCAATGGGCTATAGTGAAATATAAGAAAGCATTTTAACAATGGCATGGAAAAAACCATAATGTCCAATCCTATTACAGTGACTGTTTTTCATAGGGTATCTTCTAAGTGAAGGGATATTAAAGAGCTCTGTTTCTAATGATTACTTAGGCCTAAGTTTGCTTGAGGAACAAGCCTTTTTGTAGCAGCGCCGTAACTAAGTATTTTTGCACCTGGGACAAAATATTAATGATGCTCCTCCTCTCCTCCAAATTAAAAAATGTGCCTAGTTTACTAATTTTTATTTATCTTTACTTCAAGAAAAATCAACACATTATTAATTAGTATAGTAATATAACCAAAATATGTTTTCAATAATATTAGGAACATATTTTGCATAGATAATTTAAAAATAACATTAAATAAATAAAATGTCATAACAAACAATAATATAAATAAAGGAACATATAATAAATGACAACATATTTCTAATACTTATTATAAAGTTACTTTATGTGCCTTTAGTGTGGCAAATTCATCAATTATATCACTGAAAAATATTTTGGATATTTCATGCTTGATGGAGAGAATTGACAGTCTTGCTCCCCAATACCATAACGTAAGTAATTTTTTACAAGCTTTAATTTACTGAAGCTTCATTCATTGCTAGCCATAGTTACTGGCAAAGTGAGGAATAGCCTAAAACCAACTGATAAATGTGGATATGACTCTACAAGTGAGTTGTCATAATTGTAGTATACAGTATTAAGAAATGAGGCTGATGATAGATTATTTGAAATTGAAGGTGCGGTATGTTTGAAACTTTCAATTTCAATACAGAATTTGTTACTATTAAAATCATTTTTATATTTCATTGCCAAATTAATAGCATGATTTTTCAATTCAGAAACATCCATTTCTTGGATAACTGATCCGGTTAAAAATGAATAATCACTGGCGATTTAATTGAATGCTTTATAGCTCCAATTTAAGTGGGCAATCAGGGCATCAAATACTTGGTTTATCTCTATTATGTAAACTTGATTTGAGGTCAAATTAATATTTTCATCATCTGACTCCCCGGGATCTAATCTTAGGTAAAATTTGTAATTTATTGGCTAGTTCAGGTGCTTCTGTTTCTAATATATCTTTAATAGTACAATCTCTGATTTCTTGAATTGTATTTTTTAAACCAGCAATTAATTTAGCAGCTTGACAAATGGTTGTATCTTTCTTTTGAAGAGCTAAATTAGTAACTTATATGTGCAGGAGAATTTTATTCCAAACACATAAATTACTAATACATTTATAATTTATATGTTTGACAAAACTCTCAACTGCAGAAATTGTTTTGGGGTCTAAAGAGTCTTTGGAAATTTTTTGCAGAACACATTTTATTTTTGGTAGCTGATCATGCATAAATTGTATAACCATATATTTTGATGACCACCAAGTATCACAACGTTGTTTTAAAGTAACATCTACAGAATTCATTAAAATATCCCATCTAGCAGTAGAACTTGAAAAAAAAAATACAAAAAAATTCTTCAGATTGTGCCAAAAATATAATCATGTCAGCAGATATTTAGGCAGCGTGACAGCAAGCTAAATTTAAGGAATGCACCAAACATGGTATACCGTATTTTCCGGCGTATAAGGCGACTGGGCGTATAAGACGACCCCCTAATTTTCTAGTTAAAAGATAGGTTTTCGTCTTATACTCGCCGTATAAGACTACCCCCCCTTAAGAGGCCAACCGGCAGCGCCCCAGCACCCCTCCGCCTCCCCGGCTTTGCTCCCGGTGTCCCTGGTCTGCTGGAGACGGTCCCCAGCAGACCACGGGCA